TTCCTCCGAATCACTTGTGCTCTCAGCGGGGCAGATTCGTTTTCCGAGAACCGTGGCCGGCTGCCTGGGGCTGCCAGGTGGCGAGCTGTTGGCATTAGCAAACTGTTCAAGCTCATCACAGAAGGCAGTTGCAGAAGACGCAGAGGGCATGTCGATGTGTGTTCAGGAGGAAGAATGGCATGCCGTTCTGTGGTTTTATATTGTGGTCAGTTGGTGGCCTTTTGAAGGACCGCTCATGTCTCAATCAATAACGGCCGCGCGCGATCCATTGGCGTGAGTGAAACCACACACATCATAAGCCGTCTCCATTTTTTACTTCACCTATCGGTGTTCACGTCCTGGAAGCATGTCTCGCCAAGAATTGTACAAGAAATGTCGGTTTATTTTATAGAAATTTAGGCAAGCAACAATGCTTACAGAGCAGCCAGATTTTATGCCTTCAGGAGACGGCTCCGAAATGCACTGTGTTCTCTGCTCTCCTGAAGAGGGAGGACCAACAATTCGCAAGAAAAGTGTGGCAGCTCACATCAAGGGAAGGTCCCACGTGGAAGTGGTAGAGGAGCATGAGCGCCAAGGAGCTCAAGTTGCAGCCATCGCCGAAACACTCAACCGCAGAGAACAGCGAAGGGCTGGGGCTTCATTGGCACTGCAATCAATTAACTTGATACAACCTAGACAGCCTGCTTTAGCGAGAAATGCGTCCAGCACAGCAGAAGAGGAGTTCTGAGCTGACTTCTCACAGGATCCACACGCGTTCACATTTAATGCCGGAGAGGATCCTGATTTGGCAGCAGCAGAGAGTCAACGTCAACTCAAGCAGAATGCAGAGGCCTTTGGAATCTGGAACGCCCATTCCACAGCTCAGGACCTAGGCTTCGGGAATGAAAGCCCTGGCTCTGATCCATTCCTCGAGCTTCGCCTTGGCTCTGAGGATCCGGACGAACTTCTAGCAGACCTTCTTGCCAGCACCAGTATGCATCTTGCCTGCTCGTCCTTTTGTAACAACTCAGATACTGATGCTTCTGTTCTTGCATAATAGAACTGGACCCGCCATCTGTAGAGGATGCAGCTAACTATGAGCTGCCTGCTTTTGTGCCAAGCGATGCTGATGCTGCGTCGTCAAACCAATGGGCTCCGTATGAGTCAAAGACAGTGAGTCTAGTGCTTATGAACCTGATCTTAGTTGACACACTCTTGTATTACAGATGTTTCTTCTTGATACCATCAATAACCTACCTCGGTGCCCTGTCTTCAATTCACTCATGCAGGTATTTCTTTGGACTCTCAAGGAGACAGGTGCCTGTGATGTTCCTTTGCTCTACAAGCTTCGCCATACACAAGAGAAACTACGCCAGAAGTGTGGCGTACCCTCTATACGATGCCAGTCTGAACTCGGGAATGTCTTCTACATGAATGATATTCGGAGTATTATCGCCAAGGTGCGTGACGCTGTGGAAAAATTATGGTACAACTCAGCTCATACTTGTCTGTAATTTCAATAGGATTGGGCAAACCCCCAGACTCGACCATATATCCATGTCTATCCTGAGGTCCCAGAGGGTGGAATCCGTAAGGTCTGGCATGCTAATAAGTGGCGCCACGAGATGGACACACGGATGCTCAGCCCGATGTACGATGCCGGTGCTGGTAAGCACTTCTATGTCGACGAGCTGGCCAAGCTGCAGGATGGAACCTTTGTTATTCCTATACGCTGGGTTGTAGTCCATGGTGAAGTTCATGCAGATGCATTTACTGTAACAATTGACCAAAGTGTGAGCCATGCCCTTCGTCCTCTCAAGCAGGTCCAACAGTTGGAGGCTGAATAAAATTTTGAAGGGTATAGCTTCAGTTAACGATGCTAAATCTATCGATATTGAAGCGAAGGCCCTTTGCTACAACTACCATGATTTGGCAGAAGCCAAGGTACTACCACACAGCTGGGATGGTAGGGCTATTTTCTTTTGGCAATTTTAAAGCTTCACTGATAGATAATTCATTCTTAGAGCGAGCAACTAGCTGGAGATATCCTGAGAACATGCCCAATCACTTGCAAGAGGTTGCGCAGGGAGATCCACTGTACACCAGCTTCGTCGACTATTTTGGAGATGATGTATCCGGTAATCGCTCAAAGTCTTGAAACAAACACTGGAATGCCTATGTCACATATCAGAATCTGCCACGCAAGCTTCTGCAGCAAGAATTCCATACGCACTTTTTATCCACTTCCCAGCATGCCTCGATTGCCAAACAGTTCATGGCGTTTAAGAAAATCCTCGAATCTACGCACACCAACCCTGTTGTTGTCCAGGACAGCATCACCGGAGAGAACGTCCGCTTCCGGCTTCATGTCAATGCTCAACCATCTGACAACCCCATGCAGAGTGAAGTATCTGCTCATATCGGTGGACGTGGTAATTGCTACTGTCGAAAGTGCGATGCAGGTGGAACAAAGGCACACAAGGAGACAG